TCTGGAGGGTTCAAGCTTCTTCCGTCGCGTTGTTTCCTAAGACAAGAAACTTTTCTCCACTTTGTTTCTCTTCAGCTATTGTAGGTGTATAATTGGGTACCGGCGACGTACTGCTGGGGGGTGACCCTGCGATGGGCTATCTTCCCGTCCAGGGGGGAGTAGAAATACTCCTAGGCATGCTTTATGCTAAGGAAGCCGATATAAGCTCCGGCCGCTTGGGGCTTTGGCTCTTGTGCGCCTTTACCTTACCTTACCTGACAACGTAATAGCATAGAACATACTGCTTATATTAAGAAGGGTTCTGTTTGAGTGGTCACACGAAATGTAATTCTTTCTACAGACTGGTAAGTTATAGGAATTTTGTGCTGAAGTTGTCTTTACCCATGCACAAAATATTCCTATAGAGTTATGGAGCAAATTTTATCAGGGAGCACTAACTATAGTAGTATTTTGGTGATGACTTTTTCCAGGCATAGCCTTAAAACTTGAAAAAGTTGGCCAAATTTCAAATTTCAATCCTTTCCCATCCTTGCCATCCGAAATACAAAACGCGACCATTATTTTTGAAATTCAGTTGACGCGAAAGACTCGTTTTACTGTTTTAGGGTATTAAAAAGATAGGAAATGGCGTGACATAGCCTAGTTTGCTGCACAGCCGTTTTTAGTGGGGAGGAGCGTTGTGTGACGACACTAAAAACGGCTGTGTAGCAGACTAGACATAGCCTCGTTAACAAATGTTTTCCTTTTTGGTTCCTTCAGAACGCTGAGCTGAGGATGTTACTCCATCAGTATGTGAACTCAAGGGTAAGCAGTACAGCTTTATCCTAGTATCGTATTATTTTTTTATATTCGAACCTTTCCACAACGGCCACCTTGGGGACAAAAGAAAGTGGCCGTTGTGGAGAGGTGACCGTTATGGGGAGGTAGGAGTGTTTTGTGACCATTTCTGACTTTTTTTGTCAGTCGCTGAAAACACTGGCCGTTGTTAAGAGGTTATTTTGCCGTTGTAGAGAGGTTTAAACTTAGTAGAGTCAACAAATAGACTGTCCGCCAGGACAAAAAGAAGGGGCTGCTGAAGAGAGGTGGCCGTTGTGGCTGGTGGCCGTTAGCGGAGGTTTGACTGTAAAAAAACATTTCGGTAATATTTGACGTTTACATGGTTTTAGGACCTAGCGACTCCACGCGCAAACCTTAGCCAACATATGTGTTTCCAAGAAGTTGCTTGTTTCCGTTGTGGGTTCGGTTATCGCCGAGTTAAATTCTAAATTCTAAACCAGAGGAGCTCCTCTGTCCCTAAACTGGCCTTAGGTTATCTGGGCGTCTTGTCCAAGGCATATCCTCAACATTCATTAGACGCCCTCTTTGGGGGAAAAGACGACAGCAATATTAGATGCGGATATGAGGAACACGTTTTTTTACTTGACGTAGTTTTCTCTAAAACAAAAAGCGACTTTCCTTGAGGAGCAAATAGACGGCTTTACTTGAGTGCCATTATCTAAGGCTAAACCAATCACACACGTTTCCCTTAGCTGTTCTTGAATCCCACTCGAAAATCGGCTTCAAATTTTACATTGGTTACCTCTGTTGCGTTTTCTTTCTTTCAAGCATTAGTCTTACCAATGGAAACATGCTATGCCACATTGTAAGAAGCTAAGTCACTATGATGGAAGTGACTAGATTTGTATTACTACTTTTAGGTAAACCAAGAACTGGAGATACCTCCAACAAGAATACTACAAGCAGAACTCTCAAAGGAACATGAATGAATGAACGCTACATGACGTGTCGTTTTTCTGTAGAGATGTATCATATTTATTAAATCCGAAATCGTTGCTTTTTGAGGATAGGGCTTTTTGTTTCCTCTTTGCTTTTTTCGCATATTGCATTTGTCCTTTGGTACTGAAATTACATAACGCAAGCGAGAGTCACAGCAGCCTTGTAAATTCTTAAACCAACGCGCGCTGGACTATCGATCGAGATTAAAGGTTACATCGTTTTGCCGCTTGAGGACATCGAAAGATTAAAGAAACCACACACTGTCTGAAAAGCGACATCAAATCAATAAATTTGCGAATTACCAAAATATAATAACGAGAAACACAGTCCCGCCTTCGACCGCCATGTTTTTGTTCCTTCTCAAGAACCGTTGATCTTTTGTTTTTGGCGTAATGGGCATGATCAGTACACAAATCCGATGGCAAGACAAGACCCTTGATGATCGCTTTGCAACCTTTTAGAACATCGTTTGGATTCATTTAAGAGAATGTATGGAAAGTAGCTCCCCCCACCCTGTATACAGCTATTTTGAGCGCACGCGACATTCTCGAAAGGTAATATGGAATATGTTCAATACACTGTTGCCGACACTGCAGCTGTCGAATTTACTTTTATTGCTTTCCTTCAGCACTCGCAAACCTACAAATTTCTTTGAAAAACAGCGAACACAAAACCACCCACAATATCTTTCGGAATTGTCGAGTGCTTTTTTTCGACAATTTTTCTCGAAATAGCTGTATTCACTAATAGTAAGAAAAAAATATGGGGCATCCGATTTTGCAGTTCGGTAAGACTAACAAATATACTTTATTATGCATGCAAGTCATTATTTTCATGTATATCAAGGTAAAAGGGAATGTATTCCCCAAGCTATCCCCTGATTGGTTTTGCACCAATATTTAAACCACTCCTGCGTTAAACGGCCCCTCATTCGCAGTCAGTAAAGAGTGTAAGAGAGTCCGCCATATTTCACGGCCCATTTTCCCCCCAGCCTCCCGAGAGATCTGTGTTCGGTCTCCTTTAAAAGACACTCCGTGTCGTTCCTTGTCTACGCCGGGGTGTCCTTAATCCACAACAATGATATGCAGGAAAAATATGGTACTTTTCGCCGTGTTTAAATTATACGTGAGCGCTAAGACTTCGTCCACACTTAAGGTTGATTTTTAGTGTCGCGTTATTTTTACGTGCGTAGGTGCGTAAAATTTTCGTTCGCAAATAAAATAGAGGCAATGTAAGCAAAAAAGTTGAACCGCGCTTTTTTATCCTTGCTCTATTTTATTTTACGTGTTTAAAATTTACGTGCGTTAACGTGCGTAGCCAAACAAGCGTCAGTGGAAATCAACTTTTAAAGTGTGGGGCCGTTTGTAAACGCTTACAGTTGTGCGTGTTTTTGTCTAGTTTCCATACCAAAGCGATAATTGAGGTTTTCGAGAGCGTTCTCCAAACTAGAGTCGTCAAAATTGGGGTGAGGCCATGTGGAGGGGCAAAACCGAAGGTTATGGAAACGCCACGTTACAGCCACTCATAAATGACATGTTTACAAGCTTGTGAATCGTGAGAATAGACGGAAGTATCGCTTGCGCTACTAAAGCGAGCGCACTAGTGCCGTAAATGATCCCCACACCTCAAATGATTCAGAAAATGGACCGCAAATGATCCCGAGAGGAAAATTGGGATAGCTTGGACTCGTGTTACTAGATCATCGTATAAAGTGGTTACCATAACAACAAGTATTTTAAAAACTAAATAAATTGGCCTCACAAATAATGGAAATAATAATGAAAAAAAAATTTTAGCCGCGAAAGTCTCTGAAACCAGAAATTACTTATCGGACCGATCCAAGAATAGCCTAAATAAGAAGGCAAATCGCTAGATACGTGTTTTCATGTGTAGACGGTACAAAACGATAAGAAAACATTAGCATGGATGCGGAACTCTCGATACCCCTTTTTTTTTTACAGCAAAACAAGAAGTCTTAATGAAAACCCATTAAATGTGGGCAAGGAACCTAAAGGACAGGTGCTAAAGGCATTATTTGTTATATATATGAAGCAATTAAGACCAATTAAAATGAAGTAAAACTCGTCGAAATGTCCCTAAAAACAAAACAGCTGGCAATTGAACAAAGCGATTCACAAAGTGGCGCAAAACAAAACATTAAAACCGCCGCAAGGCTACGCTACAATTAGTCATTTAATAGAAAAACCTATCAGTTTGTTATGTCGACTTTCAGACATTTAGGCTGAATTAAACTGGAGGCTGTCGAATATACAAACACCAGTTTTTTCGAAAAGTATTTGAACTCGATATGTTTACTCCGTCTTGAGCTTTTTACTTGATTCCTTTACCAATTGCCTTGTGAGCTGTTGTTGTAACGTTATGTTTTGTCTACTGTAGATAAAGTGAAGAAACCATAACTCATAAATTTTGCTTGGTGCGAGGATCGGTAAAAACGGCCTTCTTTCATTTGCTACCGATTCCCTGGTGACTATTTTGATGTAGAGAAATTGTTGCATCGGGGGTATTCTAGCGAAAAAAGAACAGTTTGGCTCTGTTAGTCAGGTGTGTTTTAAAGATGTGACAAAGCTATCCGTCTGCGTCTTTTTAAGGGAAGGGCTTTTAAGGGAACTTAAAGTCTTAGGCGCCTTAACACCGGCTCGTTAATTTACGTTTTAATCTAAACTTTTGAAATGACCGACAGTCAAAATTGAACCGAAAAATTAATTTGAGCCCATTTGTATTTTCTAATAAGAGTATCCAAAACATCCTGATTCTCTCAGCCATGGTTTCTCCTTTTGCATCCGCCGGTATTCGCCCTGTTGTAAACCGGTTAAACCAGGACACTACAGTGTATTACGGCCTCGTATTTTGGTTGTTCTCTTGACCTTATATGGTAAAATGACATAATAGTGGAATAATAAGGCAGGTTATTGACGAATCAGCACTACAATAGAATTCAGTCGACACACTGACAGAGACAGCAATATCAATCAAGTTGATGTTTATAATCAATGAACAACGAAGCATAGAGTTCCTGACCAGTTCGAGTCAAGGAGTTCCTCAACCTCCTACGTTTCCAAAACACTAGATTGACATTTGTGGCCTTTGCTTTCCGTTCGTCAATTGCCGAAACAGTGCAGCCAGTTTGTCAAATCTTTCACTTTTTGAGGCTAACTAGCTTCTCGGCTTTTTCCCTTTATTGTTCTTGTACTGAAAAATCTACCATGGAAAATGAAGACAATACTTCGTCATACATCACCGCTTGCGTTTTGAACGCTTTCTTATCTTACACCGCTGTAATGCTAAACTGTTTAACGATCTACGCCTTAACAAAACTCTCATCATTACCAAGACCTTTAAAAACGCTGCTTTTAAGCCTGGCTGTTTCTGATCTCGGTGTTGGTTTGATGGTGCTGCCTTCGCGCATTGTGTCTTTCATCATGATAATGGGGCAAAAAACTGAAAACAATCCAGCTTATAACATAACCGTCAAATTCTTTAGTTTTACGTTTAATCTGTTTGGTTTTGCTTCGTTCTTCGGAGTAACCCTTTTAAGTTTGGATAGATTTCTGGCTATCTACCTCCACCTCAGATATCAGGAACTTGTGACCAACAAACGTGTTTATGCTGTGGTTATTTTAAAGTGGGCTTTCAGCGCAGGTTTGTCGTTTTTGAGACTGTGGATCTCGAAACAAATTCTTTACATAATCTTCGTGATTATCTATATCTTGTTTCTCCCAACTATGACGGCCCTTAATTATAAGATTTATGAAGTTGCACGACATCACGCGAAACAAATTCAAGCCACTCTACAAGTTATAACAGCTCAGAACAACGAAGTTGAAATGGGGAACGCTGCTAGTATGAGAAAATTTGGAATCGCAACATTATTAATATATCTTGCTTTTTTAATTTGTTATTTGCCAAACCTCCTTTCCTTAATTATTTTTCTCTTCTCACTAACAAGCACAGTTGTTTTAGACCTGTACAGTTTGACTTTGTTGTTTCTTAACTCCACTTTAAATCCTTTGATTTACTGTTGGAAACTGAGACAAATTCGACAGGCTGTAGTTAATATAGTATTACAGAGCATGAACAGCCTGACAACGGGGTGTTGCTAAGGTGCTAAGTTTTTTCAACTCGCGAAGTCGTGAAATTCAAAGCAGAAGAATTGGTTTGTTTGGCAAAAGACTTCTTTCTCAGTCATATATTCTCTTTGTTGAGCTAAATACTTTCTCTGATTCTTTTCCTTTTTATAATAGTCCATTTTTCATTCAGTAACACCATTTTGAACTGCATTATTTTGTAACATAAATTATTTAGAGAAGTGTCTAACATCTTTAATGAATTGTAAATTTATCGTGTAATGTAAATGCATTTTATGCGGTTAATGGTAAAAAAAAAAATGAATTAAACCTTGGATGAGACTATTGAAAGAATTTAACTGACTACCGTTTGAGGGGAATTTGTTCAATTTTTTTAAAAACTCTCAGCTGATAAAAGACAGAAGTAGTTATGCTTCAGCAAAGATAAGCTTCCGTTTGGTGTATAGGTGAAGGTATAGGTATAGTATAGGTAAATCATTGATATGCATAAGGGTCGAGTCTATGACGTCACCCATTGTTTTATCCTAGAGAAAAAATGCGTTCCACCATACTAATTAAGTGCCTAGTCAGTGTGTTCCTGCATACTAATTCGGCATAGGTTTACTAATGAGCGAATACTACAATAGGCTTGCCTCGACTTGCCCGTGAAGTAACTTGAGCCCGGTTTTCAGACCGTCTATTGAAAGGAAAATAGGAATAAGAGAAGCGATCACCTAGCAACGCGAGAAACGGCTTCCTATATCTTATTTAGCTCTAAAACTCAGACATATAAACAAAACACATACAGAAAGTGGAGTTAAAAAGTCTTCATTTCAATTAAGTTTACGTCTTCTTATTTAGCCCTAAAACTCGCATATATAAACAAAACACACGCACATATACACAAAGTGGAGCTGAAAACTCTCTATTTCAATTTTGTCTGACGTTTTCTCCGTTCTATCTCGAGGAAATGAAAAACTACTAAAGTCTCAGCGCTTCACGTGCCGTTAGTCAGGTAATTATGCGAGTTCGCGAGCCCACCGTTGAATGCAAATTAGCTCTGCAGTAAAAACCCCAAGGGAGGTCCTTGACGTATTAGTATACATGTATAAACAATTTTAAATAACTTAACCAGGATCAATTAAAACACGCGACTAATAATTTCTAGCAAGAAAACCAGACAAGATATACCGTTTTAAAAAACTTTATTAAAAAACAATGACAAAGAGTCAAATACACAGCGATTTGAAAGGAAAAGGAATGAATATTAATCTTTTGACTGACTGTTACAAATCCGCTTTCTCTGTCCGTCCGTGTCTACACAATACGCCATTTCCGAGTTCCAAAAAATCTCACCTTCAAAACGAGGCTAAGTGCGAAACCTTTGTTGTGAAAATGAGTTTTATTTTCATGTCAATGGCTTCGCACTTAGCCTCGCTTTGAAAGTGAGATTTTTTGGAACTCGAAAATGGCCTATTCCGCTGTGGCCTCTAAGCTAAGAGTCCGACTTTCTTTGTTTCTTTCGGTTTGTCTTGTTCTTTGTAGTTGTTCTTTTAGCTTTTGCTTTAAAAACTGTAAACAACCAAACTTGAAATGACTTGGACTCATGTTACTGGTTCGTCGTATAAAGGGGTTACCATAACATCAAGTATTTACAAAACTAAATAAATTGGCCTGGCAAATAATGGAAAATAATAATGAAAAAAATTTTCACCGCGAAAGTCTTTGAAACCAGAAATTACTTATCGGACCGATCCGAGAATAGCCTAAATAAGAAGGCAAATCGCTAGATACGTGTTTTCATGTGTAGACGGTACAAAACGATAAGAAAACATTAGCATGGATGCGGAACTTTCGATACGCTTTTTTTTTTTTACAGCAAAACAAGAAGTCTTAATAAAAACCCATTAAATGTGGCAAGGAACCTAAAGGACAGGTGCTAAAACTATCATTTGTTACATGAAGCAATTTAAAGACAAATTAAAATAAAATGATACTCGTCGAAATATCCTTACACAATACATTCGATTTCCACCGTTGTCTCGGCTCTTGTGTTCATTTGGGTGCATTTCCAAAACAGCTGGTAATTGAACAAAACGATTCACAAAGTGGCGCAAAACAAAGCATTAAAACCGGCATGGCCAGGCTACAATTAGTCATTTAATAGAAAAACCTATCAGTTTGTTATTTCGCCTTTCAGACATTTAGGCTGACTTTAACTGGAGGCTGTCGAATTTGAAACACAAGTTTTTTCGAAAAATATTTGAACTCGATATGTTTACCCCTTCCTGAGCTTTTCACTTGATGCGTTTAGCAACTGCCTTGTGGGCTGTTGTTGTAACGTTATGTTTTCTTTATCGTAGATAAAGTGAAGATATCATAACTCATGAATTTTGTTTGCTGCGAGGATCTGTAAAAACGGCCTTCTTTTATTTGTTGCCGATTCCCTAGTGACTATATTGATGTGCAGAAATTGTTGCACTGGGGGTATTCTAAGGAAAGCAAAGAAACTAATTAAAAAAAAACCACACAGTTTGGCTTTGTTTTCAGGTGTGTTTTAAAGATGTGATATAGCTTTCCTTCTCCGTCTTTTTAAGAGAAGAGCTTATAAGGGGACTTAAGGTCTTAGGGCGTCTTAACTCCGGATAGTTAATTTACGTTTTAATCATAGCGGAGCTCCTCGCGCCCGCGAGCGAAGCCCCATACCTAAGAAAATTTGGTTATCTATCCATCCGAGAAAATTTGGTTATGACGTCAGCGTAGACCTCCCGTCTGTACAGACGCTGGGGGTAGGGGAAGCCCGTCGAGGGAGGAGTATGTTACAGCTGAGGTGAAATTTTGCATTTCAAGCAACTCGCTCGTTTCGGCGGTAAATCACATGGCCGCCCGGACTTTAAGAGAGAAAAACAAAACAAAAAAAGCGAGTCTTTCTTTCCACTAAATTTTAACGTCTACATTGACTTAGAAAGAACATGGAAAGAGCTAGAGCGAGAAATAAATAACAACGGAGACCAATTTCGTTGGAAGAAAAACCTGAAAATTATATAGCGGCGGTTAGAAAATGAGAAACGCTAGCGGCTACCAAAGTGAAATTGAGCGGCAGTGAAAAAGCAGAGTGAACAGGAACTTAAGCATTTCCACCCTATAATGTGTAAATAGGAGATTAAAAGAAGTTTCACGTTTGAGTCGTGCAAAGGAACGGCAAAGAAATGTGCAAAAAATGTCTGCTGCACGTGCAAAGTTGTTTTTTAGCTAATTAGAAAAAAAGTGTGCTGCACGTTAGACTACGAGTAGTCCCCCATTTTTCCTCAGGGATAGTAGAGCGAGCGAAACACGAGTGCGCGTGAAAATCACCCCACGCGAGAGAAGGCCACACGCGGCGGGGAGAGAGAAGCCTTTTCTCGCGTGGGGTGATTTTCACGCGCGCTAGCGTTTCGCACGTTCTACTATCCCTGAGGAAAAATGGGGGACTACTCGTAGTCTAGCTGCACGTGCAAAGTTGTTTTTTTTGCTTATTGGGTCTACTGTCGTTGTTTTTTGCCGTTGTAGTTACTTTCATCCTGTTTTTAAGATTGCTCGATTTTATATTTTCTTTCAGGAAACAATTAATGTTAAAGAGAGCTTCGCTTTTAGCCCTGGCTAAATCTGTAATTACAAGTGATTAACAAAATCGGACGACCGCTTAGCAGGAGTCCGGTTTGTTTAATTACGAGTAAGATTACATGGCATGACCGAATTGGACGACACGAAGTTCTGTTACTAATTAATTATAACTTTAACAAAAATTGTGATATATTAGGCTCTTTTTAAAATCAAAACAGAAGAAATTCGTAGATTTTTCTTTATTAGCAGTGAAAAAAAAAAAAAAAAACCTTCAAGCGCGCCCCCGATGGCGCGTACTGCCCAATTACTTAGGCATGACGCGTACTGTCCTATTGAATCGGGGCAGTTGATAACCAATCAGATTTGAGAATTTTGTTATAGTTATGATTTAGTAATGGTAACAGGACTGAGTGGAGTCCAATTCGGTCTGTAATCATACAAGTGATTTACAAAATCCGCGGGAGTCCGATTTGATTAATCACGAGTATGATTACAGACCGAATTGGATGACACGAAGTTCTGTTACCAGTTACTCATAACTTTAACAAAATTGGTGATATATAAGGCTCTTTTTTTAAATCAAAGCACAAGACATTTCAAGGTCTTTTTCAATTTGTCAGCTGTGAAAAAAAAAGCCATTTAAGCGCACGCGTGATGTCTCGTACTGTCCTATCAAACTGTCCTTAGCTATTAAGGCTGAAATCAGGGCAGTTGATAGCCAATCAGATTTGAGAATTTTTTTTTTTAGTTATGATTACAGACCGAATTGGACTCCACTCAGTCCTGTTACCATTACTAATCTAAGCTTTTGAAATGACCAACGGTCAAAATTGAACCGAATAAATTAATTTGAGCCCATTTTTATGAGTTATTTACCAAGCGTGCGAGGTCAAGATGGCAGGTTATTGACCAATCATAACCGGAATTCGACACTCTTGCCCTCTGGCAGAGACAGCAATATAAAAATGGGATGTTCGATAGGT